TGATGAGCTTGAACTGCCGACCTTGTGGTTCAAACTGAGTATGCAATCCAGCACATTAACCCACAGAGCCATACCAGGACTCTATATAGTTGTTAAATGCCGTCGAGTCAGTTCAACTCATCCTGACCCTGTATAGGGTTTCTAAAGAATGGCTGGTGGGTTTAAACTGCTCACCTTGTGCTATCCATCCAGTGCTTATCCGGTAACATCACACCAAGACTCATATAATATAAGTACTAGACTACTAACCTCAAGCTTGGCAGTTCAAACCTACCAGTCACTCTTTCAAAACCTGACTTGATGGTACTTAGCAACAACAATGGGTCTCCTAATGTGCCGCTGTAGGTTCAGCACTGGACTGCGAATCACTAAGTTGGTAGTTCATACCCACCAGCTGCTCCTCCAAAACCCTATACAGGGTCACTACAAGTTGGAACCAATTTGACAGCACTGAATAACAACAAAAATGGCCACTAAGTGGATTCTGATTCACAATGACCCTATAGGAGAGAGTACATTGGCCCAGAGGGCTCCCCAGTCTGTAGCCTTTGTAAGAGCAGATCACTATGTACCATTTCTTCCTGTAGACAACTTGGAGATGCCCTCCTGGAGTGGTTCTAACTGCAGACCTTCAGATTTGCAGCCAAGAGCTTAACTACTATGCCACCAGAGCATGATAAAAGCTTATGCAGCATATTTGGAAGAATTAAAATAAAAAAGAAATAATTTTGAGAGTCCTGACAAAGATTTAAGTTGAGAAGCATAAATCATTGAAGAAGTTGGACACTTTATGAGTCTATTATTAGACAGAACTTTTTAAGTAGAAACAGACAAAGATCAGGCTACTTTCTATGTGACCTTATAGAAGAGAAATCTATTTCTAAAGCATTGGATTTATTCAAAGATAACTGGCATGTTTAGACTTCTTTCATTATTTTGTCATTCTTCCCTGTGTTTTTTATGACATTTATGCAAATGATTTTATATAAATGATGCTATAAGGAGCTCTGGTAGTGTAGTGGTTATGAATCGGGCTGCGAACCTTAAGGCCAGCAGTTCGAAACTACCAGCCGCTCTGCGGGAGAAAGATGAGGCATTCTGCTCCCGTAAATTACAGCCTCGGAAACCCTGTACAGGGTCGCTATGGGTCGGAAACAACTCGACAGCACTGAACAACAACAACAATGCACAAAAGGAACCCAGTGGCTAAGCAAATTGATAATTTATTTTTCATTGTATTTATCTAAAAAATATCCACAAAATATTATTCACAATGCTCTTATAGGTATTTTAGGCAGAGTTTTTATTTTTTAAATGTCAAAAGAAGTGGTCTTAGACTCAAGGAATTACATATTTTCTGCTTACTAATTATTTTCATTATCTATCAAAGTTTAATTTTGTTAGAAAATGTTAACATTACAAATATATGGAAATGTTTTACTGTTTTTAAAAGGTCTCTGAAATATAACAGAAAGGCCTGAGATCAGTTCTTCTGATTCATGGCTCTGCTCACTAGTTGATAATGAAACTTGTCAAACTGTGTGACCTTTCTGTGCCTTAGGATACTACTCTAAAATCATAAGACTATTAAGTTTCTATCAACATTAAAGGGCATACTAACTGAAAATTATTCTATAACAGTACATACTAATAAATTTTACTGTTAAGTTGTCTTTATCTTCTATCAATGAATAATTTTTATGAAGAAGTACCAGGGCTCCTGTGAGGAGAATACTCAAATGAAATGGATGTTGTAGAATATTTTACCTAAGTTGGAGAAGTGGTATTTTCCTGTTGCAGAAGATGACATGGCAGAAGGGGAGACCAGAGGTGACTGGTTGCCAGTGTCCTGCAACCCTCCAGTGGAATGGGAACGCAACCATTCTTTGCCCTCTTCTTGGTTGGCCTGCCGAGAGGATGGGGTATATCTGCAAAACATCAAAGCTAAGACACTTAAGCACATCCACAAGGGCAAAGCAACCCCAGGACAGAAAAACAATTGAGAGGAGCTTACTATTCAAACTGAACAACATTTTCAAGCAGATTGAACCTAATTATAATTACTTAGTTCTTCCAGATGATTTGACACCATCTGTTTGAATCTCACAAGAAAAGAACAAAGGATTCTTGAGAAGAAAATTAGGCTTCTGTGAGATATGAATTTGAAAATCATAAACAATGAGGAGACAGCCAAATTAATAGAGAAAGACTCAAAAGCACAGTGTTTGGAAGGATGTGAAAAGCGTGAACATAGATTAAAAATGGTGGACAGTGGTATGCCAGAAGCCAAGCAATGATGGTCACAGAAATGTACTGAAAATGGAACACAACCGGGCAACTATTAAAAAATGAAGAAGGAAAAAAATACATATTTGGTTAAAATGCCACTTGACATTATGTCTGGATTAATTAAAAGGGAAAGAGATAAGTACTCACTGTATTAGAAAATAAATTTTTGGAACAAAATCTTGGGAAATAGAGCAAATGCCAGGTGTATGTTATTGCTAACCAGCCAGAGAGGAAAAGGATAATAGGGAAAAGACCTATTTTGGTTAGTATTCACTGTTCTCCTAAAGTAAGTAAATTATTGAAACCAAAGAGCAGTTAGCTCATCATGTTCATACACAGTTATTTCTCTATTAATAATTTATTCTATATCCCTTCCTCAGACAAAAATGTGCAGTAAAAGATGGCCATAGATTAAATGATAATTTTCTTTTTGTTTTTATAGAAATGAATACTATTTTGTGTGTATTATTTAATACTGAAGTCAGACTAATTCAGATTTACCAACACCCCTGAAAAATAGAAACTATCCAAAAACTATTTTAAGTTTTTGGCAAAAGGAATCTTTAAAAACCATACCTTAATTATTCTATCTGTCCTATAATGAAGAAAATATGCTTTCTTTGATCCTAAATAGTGCATTCTGCAAATTTTCAACATTTTGGGCCACATCTGTAGGCTATCTGGGCTTTGAACTTTTGTAAGCATATGCTTCCAAGATGCAAATGTTAGGAAAATTAATTGCATTTCAGTTTCCAGAAGTAGGTTTTGCATTCTTCTAAAGGTTACTACACTCTCCCTCCCCACCCCAAATACAATCGCCAGGACATGTCCTTGGCATAGTCAATAAATTTCCACGTAGTGGTATTTATATCAGGTTTAATATACTTTGTTTGAGTCTGGGCCTACCAGTGTCTCTACCTGAAGACTATCTTACTATTCCTTAGGCCAGAGAAGGTATTAGGATTAAAAGTGACTTTATCTTCAATGCCAGGAGCTACATGGCAAACAAACAGAGAATAAGAGAGAGCACACAAAGTTTACGTAACAACAGAGAAAGGCAGCAATTGTGCTGAGAGAAATATATACCTTAATCCCTTTTTGGGTAGTGTATTTCTGTCAAGCTGCATGCTGTTAAAACAAAGAAAACCCCTAAGGACATAATGTAAACAAAACTTCCAAAGTACACATCCAACAAAAAATGGACCTCTGTTTGAGTACACAAAATAATTTTTTTAGTTACACATCCTTGATACTTAACTCATTTGAAAAGGTTGAGCCAAGACTGACCAGATGTTCATTTCTGTAACACATGTGAACTACTTTTTAAATTAGTATTATTTAATGATAATTTATAGATTTTAAGTATGTTAAATCATATGTTATCAAATTCACCTGTGGAATCTATTTACCTAATATCCATGTGACTTACTAACTAGACATTCTGTTTTCATATACAGGAAAATCAGAGGTCAAAATAAGATAGATTTCCTCTAAGGTAAAATAACAAGTTCTACCTAAGATGTTGTTGTTGTTATTTGCCATGGAGTCAGTTCCGACTCATAGCGACCCTGTACAGGGTTTCCGAGGCTGTAAATCTTTATGGGAGCAGAACGCCTCATCTTTCTCCCATGAAATAGCTGGTAGTTTCAAACTGCTGACCCTGAGGTTAGCAGCCTTATTTGTAACCACTAGAGCTCCTTCTACCTAAGATAGAATCACAAAATTCAATGGGCACAGAAGCTGGAAAGCACCCTTTAAGACTTTATATTTTGTCTTTAAAAATATATTTAATAACAATAAAAGCAAATTCTCTTTTCATTTGCATACAGAGAAAAAAATAACATATAATGATTATCTGCTTGAAAGTTGATGTTTTGCCATTAGTTATTTAAATGTCTTAATGGTATTAAACTAAGCCATCTCTTAGATATTATAAATCTGGTACAAAAATGAAGTTTCAGCAATCTCTATTTTAAGTAATTTGCAATTAATCATGAAATGATGAAAAGATGTTGAAAGAGAAAATGAGATGGCTTTTTTAACAAAGTGAAAAAGGTACTGTCAACAACTACATGGAACCAGTGTAAGAATTTTTGTTGCAACATCTGGTGTGTGGGTAACTATGGGGGAAAATTCATTTGGATTTCCAAAATTATAGTTCTCTTCCAGCTGAATCTCAAATGATCAAAAGTAAATACACAGGAAATGCATAATGAGAATGATATAACATGAATGTAAACACATTGACTTGAAATTGAATCTCTCAAACTCAAAGCTAAAATGTTTTCTTCTATTTGTACTCCATTATTTAGCACTGCAACAGAAAACATTCAAAGCCATTATACAGCTTTACCTTTATGTATTGGAAATGTCTACATATTTTTAAAAACTGTATATTATATAGAAGCTAGTCTTATATCTTGACTATAGAAAGTCTCAGGGTATTGTGAAGAAAAAAAGAAAGACAGAGAAGCCATATTGAACAAATATGACAAGCTTCCAGATATGAAATACTTTGTGTTAAAACACTGGTATGGTCATAAGCCATTTTAAAGACTATCTCTTTTACAACAACTAATTGAAAATAGGTATTTTTTGACAAAGTTAAAAATCGTTAATAAAGGTAATAAGTTTATATCATGCTGGCCAATTTAATGAAAGGAAAATTAGAAAAAAATATTGAAATTTAACCAATTAGAGCCATAACTAGAAACAGGTACCAAATCTTGATAATAATGATTTTATAATGTAGACATTTTCCACAAGCCCTGAGTCACAAACACATAGGCCTCCAAGTGAAACATCTCCTCTGAGTCACATGGAATACAGCAAAGGTTGGAGTGTACAGTCTGAAGAGGACAAACACTATCTGTTTAAAGGACTGTGAAATCGGGAGTGCCAGATCTTCGACCTTTAAAGACAGGCTATCATCTGGATTCTTATAGAACTATCCAGATTTGTAAAGTTTGGCTATTCTCTAAAAGAAAACAAATGTGTACTGGTTATGACTCATTGGCCGACAGAGATCTGGAAAGTTGTTACGGAAGGTATTTATGTATATATTTATTTGTTACTTTATTCATTTTTAATGAAGAGGAATTTTAACAAAATTAAAATCTTAATCACAACTATTGATTTAATGGTGGTGGTGATGGTAATGGTGGTGTGGTAGCGTCAAATCAGTTTTGACTCAGAGCAACTCTATACAGGGTTTAGAGGCTGTAGATCTTTATGGGAGCAGAAAAACTCACATTTCTACTGAGGAGTGATTGGTGGATTCAAAATGCTGACCTGGAGGTTAGCAACCCAGTGTGTAACGCACTACACTATTAGGGTTCCTTACTGATTTAATGGTATTACATAAATAAACAAAAGCCCCAAACCGTTGGCCATTGGGAAATCTTAGATTAAAGGCCAACTCTTGGCATGCTGTATAGCAGTTCTAGGTAAGGGCTAGGTAAAGGCTGGGAATCTGGGAGAGAGGAGACAAGTCCCCATCGCTATCAGTGTGAAAAAAAGTCTAGGGGACAGGATTGGCATTTTCAATGGTCAGTATACTTTTGCAAATAACATGATTAAGGTTTGTGTCCAGTACAAATTTGAAAGCCTTACATGTGTCCCAAATCAAATCATATTTAGTAAGGTACATTAGGGAGAAAGTGGCAGTTTTATGGTATTTTCCAGAAGATAAGTATCACTACCAAAATTTCTAGGAAAATAATTATTTAGGGAGAATCTATCATCATTTTGCTCCTGCTGGTAAGCACATTAAGTAAAATTATCTTGTTATGGGTCTCCATTTTCAGTTAAAAAATAAGATAAAACTTATAAAACCAATAGGAACACCTTTAATATGACTCATCTTCCAGGGGACTATTAAAAAATGTTGCTAGGATTTATAGTTACATCTAAAAATTCATGGCTGAAAATTGATTTTTCTTTCTTTCTATTAGAATTCCCAGCAACCCATTTGTTACTTTTCCAGAGCAGTGCCAATACTGCAAATTTATCATATTGCTCACTTTATAATAGTAGATTTGATCTTTAAAATTTGCTCTTTAAAAATGCTTATATTATTATAGGGAGCTAAGGTGTTTCTGGAGCTAAAGCCAAATCATTAAAATGTCTTGGGAAGACACCATTCAATACATAAATACACACTTTAAAAATTTTATTCAAATTGCTTACTAGGTATGTATATATACATTCATACACAGAAACTTAATATCTAATCATCCTACACTTTTAATTTGAAAATTAGGTAATAAAAATAAATGAAAGGCCCACTCTCATCAAACTTCTACCCCTTTGCAGGGTGGCACGCCCACAAAAATCAAGGGGATTTAAGTGGGGAAGGGGAGGATGAGAACTTGGTCAATGCCTCCAGGAAATCTCACCTTTCTGAGAGAGTAGATCTCACACTACCCGTTCTCATGAGCAGGCTCTGAACCTCGTGAGTGCCTGTGGTCAGTCCAGACAGGGAACCATGGTGGCTGAGGGGGAGGTCAATGGACTCAGAGCTCGTATGGAGGCTAGTCATGGACTGGTAACTTGGAGTGTCCTTGCTGCCAGCAGAGGAACTGCTCAAATTGGCAGCCCACACGAGACCACCTGATGTGAAAGAATGAACCGATGCTGGACTGGAAGCCAACGAGTGACTTAAGCTTATAACATCTGTAGTTAAGTCTGAGGGTTTATTGAAGAGAGGGCTGCTGCTGCCACTTAGCCCACCAGCACTGCCCATGCTGCCCGTACCAGACGACGGTGATTCCAGACTGCCTTGCCGCGCTAATGTGGTACTAGGACTGGGCATTACTGAGGAGGATTTCACACCCTCAGTATTAGGTGCAGAGGCAGATTTGCCACCTGCCTTGGCACCAAACAACCTAAAAGAAAAACAAATAACAACTTCAGTTGTTCCAAGAAACTAATATCCACATTTAATATTTAGGGTTATAGAACACAGAGCCAAGTGTGCTTTGGTGTACTGAGCAACCAAGCACTTCCTGTCTCTATGTTAATAGACTTGCTACTAATGCTAATTCGGACTTCTTAATCAAGTACTGCAAATCTCTCATCTTACCAGAGAGGTAAGTCAGTACTGGGATGCTAACCGAGGGGTCGGGGAAGAGGGCAAAACAGAAGTTAAGTCAAACATGAAAATCCCTGATTTTCACAATGTTAAGTGCTCATGAGAATCCACTCTGCAATTTAATAGTTTAACCATACTTGCGGTTACCTATTTACAGAACCATTATAATGAAACAACTTCTACGCATTCGGTAATAGAATACTTATAAAGGTTTTTGTTGTTGTTGTTGCTTAAGAGGTTATTCAAAATCTACAAGGGATGCGTAAGACCAAGTTAAGGTGACTCATGTTGTATAATTGGTGGCCTCAGTGACAGTCAGGGAGTACGTGTTTGGGCACAATACTGGGCACTACTGGCAACAAATGCGTTTGTCTGTTATCTCCCCCAGAAAGGGGCAGAGGCTTTAGGTCAGTTGCCAGTGGTATGCAAATATGTTGTTATAAATATTGTTGGTGCTAAAGCATATGTTGGAGTTTCGTTCAGAAAACATTTTAGTTTGGTAAGTGAAGCAAATGATGTAATTGAATTCATGTAAAATATGGAAATAAAACGATATGGAATAATGGCATAATGATTACTGTTGAAGTCGCAATGACATCCCTATTTCCTACAGTGAAATATTTTATGACGAATATGAGAAATTGTTTCATAGGTAATGGGCCACAGGAGGGCACTCTTCACTTATAAAGTTCAGCAATATAAATATTTACACTCATTCACAGTCATAATTTCTTTTTACTAAGGCAAACCAATATTTCAAAAACACTGTTCTTTTGGAATAATATTTCTACTGACAAATATAACCTTTAAGTTGTTCAAACAACCATGTAATTGAGATTGCATGCAATGTAAAATAAATGTTTCAAGGCCCTTGGTTTAGTCAGTAGAATAAGAACAAACATCAAAAGATCTTTAGCATGCAACATGTTCCATCATTTTGCAGATGCGGAAACAGACCCAGAAAGGTTTACCTAATTTTTCCAAGTTTGTAACTGTATCTATTTGCCTACACTGGTATGTAAAAGCAGTGTCCTCTAAAACAAAACTCTACATACTCAGTACCACAGGCATTCCCAGTATAGAAACTAAGGCATGTTGCTTACCTAAATCATAGCAAAGAAATCTGATGATGAGTTAGCCCATCCTTTAGTTTTGAAATCTGTACTAAATATTTGAATATTTAAAAATTCTGTCAACCATATCTTTATATTACTTAGTATATTAAGAAATGGTACTGTATCAAATTATCTCAGTCATATCATTTCTTGATTATCTTTACTATGTCAAAATATAGTGTGGTACAGATATGTTCAATATAATCTCTTACAAGAAATACAATGTCATTTATAATCATGAGCATCATCTCCCAAATAGCCAGCAGGGTAATGAACACTGGAAATGAATAACAGTAGTCATAAAGATCTGTTTCACTTTGTTTGTTAAATATGGAAGTAAAAGGTGGGACTATATAGACATTTTACAAGCTATTACTTTGTTTAATTACTACCCCTGCATGTTGCCATCTGCTTCTAAGTCTCTATGCTGCTTGTGTTGCTAAAATTACTACAGGACAACCAGGATGCTTGGACATTTTGCACAAGGAGCACCGTTTTCTTTGTTGTTGTTGCTAACTATTTACATGATCAGCTTCTTAGAACTCACTGTATTCTAAAAACTAAATACAATAAAAGTGAATAAGAATAAAACTATACCCACCCATGTCTCTATGTTAGAGCATCCTTTTATGTTTTCCCAGTGTCACTTCACACATCCTTACCTTCTAAATGTAGGTGAGGCAATGTCAGGATACTTGGATCCTGGCTGCCTAAGGCCTTGTGTCCCACAGGCACTGGCAGAAGTTGGGCTGGATTTGGGGGAACCTGACAAAGAAACACTTTCTGAATCCGAAATGGCTACTTTTTCCTTTTCCTTGTCTGTTTGGTTGACGGTGACAGGACTGGAACGTCCTGATCCAATCTTGGTTGGTTCTCTGAGTTTCGAGGTGGTGGCCCCAGCGGATTTGCTGCTGACGTTGGAATCAATGCTGCTGGTGCTGGATCTGTGGCCACCTCGACCAGGAATACCACTGGTGCTGGATTTGGAAGGGCGGGGCAAGCTGCGGTACTGTAGCGTGGTTTTTGAGCTAACATGAAGCACAACGTCATCCTGATTCTGTGAACCATCTAAACTGGTTTTTCTCCCTGCATTTGACTTGCCACCAATGGCAGCAGATTTGGGGATTTTACCCAGTGTTGCTGAGCCACTTGTGATGGTCGCTCCGCTGGCAGTGATCATAGTAGATGACCCTACTCCACTGGGTTTCTTAAATCCAAAAGAGCCAGTAGCAGTTGATCTTCCAATACCTGAGGGTGGCTTTTTCCCCTCATCCCCACTGCTCTTCCCTGCATCTGAAGGAGACCTTTGAAGAGATGATCCTTTCAAGGGAGTTTTCCCTTTCTCAGAAGCTTTGGCATCATCAGTTTTCCCTAATTAATGAGAAATAGACAAAAATATAGGTTTCTGCATATTTTAATACCATAATATTTCTTGAAACAATGTGTTAAAGAAAATGCTTCTTTATATTAACTCAGTTTCTGAATGCTGGTTGTTTTAGATTTAAATAGGCATTCACTGAAATATACTGAGAAAATTGTAAGTAAATCTACAAAAATAGGACTGTCAGAGGAAATGCCATGAGAGATCAAAGAGAGAAAATAGACATGTATTCTTTTTTTCTGTTTATTAGTGTTTTACATCTTGCAACTCTTATAAAGATAGTGCCTAATTATGCTAGAAAAAGAATTCATTTGAATATCTGTGTGCTGATGATATTTGTAATGCTGCTTTACATCAGTATTTCAAGTGGCACTAGTTAAAATTAGACACTACTTCAAACATAGTCAGTGAGAGACTGTTCAGAAAAGATTAGTACCATTTGGCAAAATTCTCTCTCGCTATTTCTGCATAAGGCCTAATTCATAAATAAGGTTTCAAATCTCCAGCATTCCTTTACATTATGGGAAGTGTTCTTACCACTCAGAATTTGTGTAAAACTCAGTAGCATCTGTAACATAACCATTCCAAACTTTCACAAGGAAGGTCATGTGAGAGAAATATTACGGTTCTATAAGTAGTCTTATTTCATTTCCATGTGACCATAAATGACTGTGACAAAATATGAAGAGACCCAAAAACCCCAAATCATGAGTGTCCTATATATAGGGATGTCTAGATTGTCAGATTCATGTGGGTTTTCATGAGAAAGTCAGTACATTTAAGATAGGAAAAATCTTTAAGGGAAAAAATATGAGCTACAACAAAGACAATGAAATCAGTGATTAAAACACCTTCCAAACCACAAGCCTACCAGGGGTCTTGAGAGCACTTGATCCAGTTTTCTGCCTGGATGTTGTTCCTCCTTGGGCAGACATGCCCCTTCTCCAAGAACCTGTCTGTGATACTGACAGGGAGGCTTTCTGCCCTGCCTTCTCAGACTCTTCTGGAAGCCCCGAGGAAATACTCTTCCACTTGCCACCACCATCTCCATGGCTGTCAAGGTCCTCTTCTGATTTTTTCAGCTCTTCAGTACTATCCCAGGTCTCATCTGTTGTAGAACGTTTCTCTGAATCTGTCTTCAACTACACAGGAAAGATCAGAGGAAATTTTTATCTAGAAGAATCTACAAAGTGTGAATTAAGGTACCAGAATATACTTTGAGATGATGGGTAGAGAAGAAGCACTGGCTTGTATTTCAAGTAAATTCCAGAGATTCCTCTATTTTTACATATGGCTAAAGGAGCTCTGGTAGCTTAGTGGTTACGAATCAGGCTGTGAACCTCAAGGTCAGCAGTTCGAAACTACCAGCAGTTTCATGGGAGAAAGATGAGGCTTTTTGCTCCCTTAAAGATTTACAGCCTCAGAAACCCTGTACAGGGTCGCTATGAGTCGGAACGGACTCCACGGCACATAACTACCACAGCCATCCTTAAGCTTCAAGGAGCTCTGGTAGCATAGTGGTCACATGTTGGCCTGCTAACCTCAAGGTCTGCAATGAGAAACTACCTACCATTCTATGGGAGAAAGATGAGGCTTCTTGTTCCTGTAAAGATTTACAGCCTCAGAAACCCTATGGATGGTTGCTATGAGTCGAAAACAACTCCACGGCACACCAACACCACCATCTTTAAGCTTCATTAATTTTAGCTACTTAATTCTCACTTTCACATGTTAGAGGTTTATCAGAATAAATCCATGAAGAAGACCTCAACTAAAAACTCCAGAGATGAATGGATTTTCTATGTTCGGTGTAACCAGGAAAAGTGAGACAAAATAAAACTCAATTATTTAATGTATATTTGGACTTATCATTCACAAGAGATCCAATTATTTCTTTCAGAAGTCAATATAAAATTAATCAAAACTATGCAAAATTAGATTATTAAAATGCTAACTGGATGTTACGCACAAGTCTGTTATGGTTGTTCTAAATGATACTGTAATCAGTAGAAACTATGTGATTTAGATGATACAAAATGGATTCTGGAACATGTTGCACCTCTTGAGAAGGTAGCTCTAGGGAAAATTAAGATAAAGACATTTCAGAGTCAGGGGTGTCAAAGTAAGTCCTGCTTTATTCACTGTATACAATGATGTCAGGTTAAGGTGTTAAATTATAATCTGGATACTCAGTAAGGTGCTGTTGTCTTAAGAAATCCTATGTACAACAGAACAAAATGCTGCATGGTGACTAGGTTTGGGCCTATTTTTGTGGTTGCTGTGACAATCCATCTATTGGGGATTTTCCTCTATTAAATTAACATAATTTGAAGAAAAAAATTGGAGCTAGTACTGAAAAAGAAATAAGGCAATACTCACCTGAGTGTTCTTCCTGGAAGGGATGGTGATGTTAGAATAAGAGCTGACTGAAGACGTGGTGTTCAGGTCGTCAGTGCTGATGTTATCCAAGGTGTCACTGAGGCCACTGCTCACAGAACTGCTGTCATCCCAACTAAAACAAGAGATGCAGCCACAATTAACTAAGCACAGGACGCCCAGTGCAAGTCACTTTCACATACAACCCTCACCGTGCATTAGAAAGACTGCTCACTTTCCATTTTGGGAAAACCATCTTTATAGAAATTGAATGTAGACATGAGAACCAATGTATCTGGTGTTTCAAAGGAGTCAACATCTAAAAGAGATCTGGACCCTAAAGGAATGTTTGTGGGAATGAATGGAAATACAGCTACAGATATCATGTGGAATCAGGGAAGAATAACATTACAGTAGACTTATTTTTTTTCAGGAAAAATTAATCTGGAGTAACAACACATTAAAAAACTCACCCTTTGCTCTAAAAAAAAAAAGAAAAATTAGTCAAGAATCAGAAGGTTATACTTTCTTCAATGTTAATAACTTTTAAATAATTCTTGAATATTGATATTCATTCAATCATATCATCTTTCTTGCCACCTCTTGTAATTTCTTATCTGCTTGTCAATATACGGTATCCTCCACTCTGACCTTTCTTTCTGCCTTCCTTCTTCCCAGTGAAACCTCTGTCAATGCTCCAAAATTCTTATCTAATTACATCACTTATCTGCCTGTTGTGGTTGTTATTGTTGTTAAGTGCTGTCGAGTAGGTTCCGACACATAGGATGTGTCGGAGCTTGAACTGCTGACCTTGCAGTTCAAACAGCTTTACAGTCTGGCACATTAACCCACAGCACCACATCAAGACTCCCACTTATCTGCTTACCACTCTTTACAGACACCACTTCTTCAAAGCAGTACCAACCAAAATGGAATGCATCTGCTCTAGAGGATGAACAAGGCAGTTTATTCCGGTATTAAAAAAAAGTATTTGAAACTATATATATTTGTGCCAGGTCAAAAGTAGAATAAAGTTGATTTATTTTTAATATTCATGTCCAGGCTAACTTAGGCACTCTAATTGCATGTGTCAGATGATGTAGACATTAAGCAGGATAAGAAGTATCCTCTGAAGAGCAGAGAGAATATCACAATGTGAAGGTGTGGATCACAAGTCTTTCATATACTTACTAACTCTTAGCTGACTGTGATTCACACTGACTTCAAGTAATAGGTAGATAAAAGTTAAATCTCACTAAATGGACAAGCAACTTAAAACAAACAAAAAAAAAATACTCCTATACATAACCTACATATTGAAGGCCTTATTAATAATGAAAGCATAAGTCAACCACAAAGAAAAAATGAATCAATACATGTCCTACTCTGGTCTATGGGCTTCATGCATCATGTGATAAATACAAAAGAATAATGATGTGTTCAGATAACATGAAATCAGCTAAAAAATTATTACTAAGAAAAAAAATTGAAATTTGAATTTACTTAAAGTATAATGATGCTCCTTCTAGGTCTGTATATTACTTTGAGATATTAGATACTGATAGCATAAGGTATTTATAAATTAGATTCTTATCAATGTTCAGTGAATTTTTAATGAGAACAAGAGGTATTTTGTACCAATGCAGCATTTCTGGCTTCTGAATTCTTTTGAACACTTTCCCTAAAATTCTTTTGATAACTTCTTACATTCTGATTCGTACCTTCCCAAGATATAATAACAAAATACTCACATTCTCAGATACTTTTGTGGCCAGATAAGGCATGTGGCACAGTGCCTATCTATCATGTATACTATGGAGGCCCAAATGAAAAA